CTCTTGCCCAGGGGACTTGGGGAAAAAGAACCACGGAGTTCTGTAGTTTCTCCCCTTTCCCTCCTCACGAAGGTCCCCATCTATGATATTCCTGCCACCCATTTCAGCACCTATGGCTGAAATGTGCATCCATCCCCTGCGGCAGAACCTGTGAGGTCAGCAGGAGTGGCCCAAGGGTGTAAGGCACTCAAACAACAAAGGTGAAGGAAGGTCTTTGGGGGTGTGTTGGATACACGAGATAACTGGGCAGGAAGGACAATCCATTAGCAGGCTCTGCAAGGAAATGTGAATCTATCTTCAGAGCCAAAGAACACTCCTGTTGACTCATTGGCAGCCAAATCCTTGCGTGCATTATTTAGAGATGTCCCAGGGGCACATACAAATGAGTAACTTTTGCTACCAGAAGCCAGCTACAAAAAAAAGAACATCCCAAAAGATGTGGCTGGGAGTGCTCCGTGCAGGGAGACACAGGCAGGGCGCTGGGGCTGCAGGATGCAGGATGTAGGATGTGGGATGAAGGATGCAGGATGCCCAATCGCTGCAGGCAGGCACAGCTCCCTGCTGGCACCAGGCACGTCCCCCCACTCCATCTTCTTCCATTGCCAATGGATCAATTGTGCTCAGAGAGCTCTGGTCTGCCTATGTAGGTCAGGCCGGCAGAGCTGGCTCCACGGTCTGTGAGGTTCTTAAAATGAACAAGGGTCCCCCCTTCTGCCTCCACCCAACCCCCTGATGCCCAGACCTTGGCAGAGTGCAGCTTTGGCTCTCTTCCTAGAGGAGCAGAGCCCTTCTTCGAGGCTTCGGGCACGTTTGCAGCTCCTGGGCCAGCATTTTGCCCTGTGCTTCGCCCTGAGCAATGCTCTCCCTGTTTGTCTTTGCAGGAGCAGAGCTCTGTGCTGGGAGGGAAGGGGTGACATGACCCGATTTGTGGCTGTGTGTCGATAGCACTGGCATTGCTCCCACTCAGCTCTGTGAGCAGGATGGGAGCTGACCCAGCTCCCAGCACGGGAGATTTATCTGCACTGTAGCATCCCGGGGTGGGCTGGGCAGCCCCAGGAGGAGAGAGATTCAGCACACCAGGCTGCTCCCCTGTTTGTTGCTGCATGGGAGGGGAGCAGATAAGAGAGTGGTTGCCTAACCTTCAGCCTTGGGAGCCTCTGCTTCTGGCCACCCAGCTTCAATTCCATCCAGAAGCCTTTATCTCTCCAAAGGAAACCCAAATCCTCCAGAGACGTGGACTCACAAGCATAGCAGGGGGAGAGAGAAAGGAGAAAACAAACTTTTTCAAATAAAAAGTTATTTAGTTTAGAGCAAACTTTGCACTAGCTGAAGGGTTGACCTTGTGTTCTCTCCTAGGAACAAGCAAGAGTAGAGTGAGGATTGCATTATTTTGCCTGAAATTTGGAGTGGATCAACCTCCTGCTGTTCCTAGCTCCTGAAACGAGTGGCTGTAAACAACATGCATTTCCGGAGAATGAATTAAACAGCAAGCCTGAGTACTGACTGTATTTTAAGAGATGTTTATTTGTCCTCACTGCCGCTCTATAAAGTTGCACAAGGACTTATTAAATTTTAACCCCACATTGTTCCCGGGTAAACACTGCCCTTCGCCAGCGTGCTGAATGCTCTCAGCCCAAACAAGCAGCTCACTGCAGCCCGCAGCATCAGCACCGTGTATGGTCCCACACTGCTCCTGCCTGGGCTTTGATGGCTGCTGGCTGTTCTTTCAGTGCTGGAGAAGGATGCTGCCCGATTGCGTTTTCTTTCTGTGCATGTTGTAGGGGCAGACAGCTTGCTCCTGGTTTCCTACAGACCTCCAAATGTCTTCTGCACCTTTCTGCCAAAACTTGCTTTGTAAGTAGGCAGGGAAGACCTTGGTTTGCAGAAGGGTAGCCAAGCCAGTAATATATGTCTGAGCTCCTGTCTTCCTTGTTTCACAGCATGGAAAGGGAGAAGGCGAGACATTGTGACTATGGGCCAGGGAACTTGCTGCACCTCCCCAACGAGGAGCCCCAGTGAGGTGGGCATGTGCCATGCTTCACCCCTCAGCTGCCCTTCTGTAGCCATCGAGAGCTTCCTCCTCCACGTGGGCACTGTGGCACAACCCTGGGCCATTGGTCAGCATGGAGAAAAGGCTGCCCAGATCCCCAGCAGTGAGAACCAGCAGCATTGGAGCAAGAACAGCCTGGAGCACTGTACTGCTGGATAAAAAGATGGTTTTGCTGTTTGCAAGGGAAAAGACAAATAATCAGCATGAAAAGCAAACCCTGGTGCCTCAGCGTGAAATCCAGCTCTCCTTGCCTAATTAAGGGTCCTGAAAAGCCCCTACCTCCCTGTTCTTGAGGTATTTCTCCTGCCTGGAGGGGATGCCGCCACAGGACATGAGATGCTGAGCAGGATTCTCCAAAAAGAAGGATCTGCACACTGCAGAAACATTTCTGAACTCATGTTTGTTCCCTCTCCTGGGTCTGGGCAGAATGTCAAAGCCTGCTCTGAGCTGGAAATATTTTAAGACTAGCACTCACTGGAGACTGAAACAATGGCAATTCTTTAGCTACTGAGGCTTTTACAAAAGGGCTTTTGACAGAGAGGCTGCTTAGGGGTTTTTTTGTTGTTGGTTTTTCTCCCGGAAAGCACTGTGCTAGTGTCTGTGTCCATGTGTCTGTTTGTGCTCACACTTCTGGGCCCCTCGGTGGCAGCCTGGGGGATGCCTGCAGCCCTGCTCGCATGCGGCCAGCTCCAGCGAGGCACGGATCACACGGGATGCCATGCAGCCATGCAGGAAGAAGACATTTTAGAGTAAATGTCAGCTTTTGCGTTTCTGAGTTTGGGGCTTTTTTTAAACGTGTGGGTGGGACTTTCAATGCCCACACGAAGCCGAGACGGTTTCAGTCTCTGGGGCTTATCCAGAAGATTCACACAAACACTATGGAAAGTGTCTCTTTACTTAGGAGGATGAAATTTGACACTGAGAAGGTTTTAACCCGGTATTTCAGCAAGGAGCCTCAGTAGTTAGTGTGTCATATCTGATAAAGGCTCATCAGCCCTCCTTCGGGCACCGCTCAATTCTTATTTTCATCTGGCTCCCATGCAGGCTGTGGATACGCACTTGCACGCAGGCAAAGCGGTGCAAAATCTCAGCTCTGATCTTCCCTGGACACGAGGTCAATAGGCAGGGAAAAGGATGAAGGACAAACCCTGTGACCACTGCCCTTGTGAACAGCCCAGCTCCAAGCCCTGCCTGCAGAACAAGCTGGAAAGCAGTCATTCGCATGGCCAGCCTGCGTGGGACAGGGGTGGGATCCCACCAGCAGCACTTCCCCGCCTGCCCTGAGCCCATTTCCCCCAGCCTCACGCCTGCCCTTCCCGCGAGGTGTCCGAAGCCTCCTCCACAATTAATCTGCTTGCTGTTTGTTCAGGCCGTGTGGATTTAGCTCTCCAGCCTCACGTGCAGTGTGTGTATAGGGAAAGATAGATTGCCGCTACTTTCCAGTATAAATCACATTCCTTGCAACACTCCAAAGTAGCATTTCCAACCTCAGGGTGCTAATAGGATCCAGCAGGAGAAAGAAATGTCAGCTAAGTAGTAGGCGCTGTTTGGAGAGTGCAATGGAGCTGATCCGCAGCCCTGGGGCAAAAGGAGCAATCCCAGGGCAAAGGTTAAAGAGTTCAGGAGCACTTCAGCCTACTTAATTGCAACAGGCCTCTTACACGGAGCAAGATGGATGGCTCAAACCAGGCAAGGGGGGCAGAGCAGGGCCAAAGCAGCGCATCTGGAAGCAGCTGGGCGGCAGGGGACACACAGAGGGGACGGCAGCAGCAGGACCCCCAGCCGCCAGCCCTGTCCCCTCCTCCTCAGATGGGAAGGAGTATCAGTGCCACTGGAAAACAGCCGGGTTTTGCTGCGAGAACTCAGCACAGCGTTCACCCAGGCAGATAACAAACCGATAGCGAGAATAACTCCGGGTGCCAAGGAAGGGTTCTGTGCTCCCCACCAAAATCGGAAGGAATATTTTTAAGGGGGAAAGAAGGGAAATTGGTTCTTGTTGCTGTTCTGGTTGTTTTGCTCAGGATTTGTTTTCCGATTCCACTTTTTTTTTTTAATCTTCAGAATCTAAAAACGTCTTGTTCCAGCCCCAAGGTGATTCTACTGCAAAGGTGCCTCAGACTACAATTTTAGTAGAGTTCAGACTTGTTTTCTGCCAAATGTCATCAGAAGCTGATGTTTTGCAAGGAAAAGATCTTTTGAAATATATATTTTTTTCTATCTAAAGGAAAAAAAAAAAAAAGTTTAGAATAAAAATACTTCATCGAGTCCTCAGCAGCGAGCTTTATGTTGTTTCCCTGGTGATAAAAGCACAAGGCTGCATCTTGAGACACTCGCGTTTAATTCCTGCCTCGACCGCAAACCCCCGCAGCGACCTTGAAAGAGCCACTTCAGTTCTGCTCCATATGCGAGGAGCTCTTCGTCACAGCTCCCGTTAGGGCCGTTCGGCTGGGATAGCAGCTGAAAAGCTTTCGTTTCACCAAACACTCCGCTCCCAGCCCCCGCTGTCCCTTTCTCGTCGGTCTTCGCTCCATCCCGCGGG